AAGAGAAAAGCAACGTTAAAAGAAAAGAGCGGAAGAAAGAGAGTCTGTATATATGTCTATAGATATGTACTATGACACGCAAAAAAAAGAATAAACCTATGCATAGTACCGAACACAGAAAAGATAAAATACCACGATGATATGTCATACAGTTTGCAGAGAAAAAACCAACATGTCATTTGTTTTTGCGTATATCAGAAAATTCTTAACACAATTTGAAAAACTGAAGAAGAAGCGAAGAAATTTCAGCAGTCCGAACACTTCGTAATAAAATACTACTGAAAAAGAATCCTTTTTGAAGAGTAGGAGATGCCATCTCATTGTGATTGCTTGAACTTCCAGTTATCTATAACTGAAAGATAGAAGGTCACAGATAATTGTTTATAAATCATCAACACCGCTGGATTGTATGGAAAATATTAAGCTCACAATGACAACATAGTAGGAAATACTATTTACTACGGCATTTTTGAATATCCAAGATAGATATGAATCACTAGGAACATGATAAAAAAGCAACACTGACAAAGCAATGTCAACTATGAAAAGATGTAATTAACACAAACTATCATCAAAAAATCAACGTAGAAAGAATCGATGCGAAAAAGAGGAAATATAATGAAGAACAACAAAAGTCACACAACCATACGGACATGAAGAGAACTCAAAGTAACTGTATCAAGATGTGTGAGACAGTTTCAAAGTCTTTAGTTTTTCATGAAAATACAATAACAAAATGAAATGTGAATAATCTTAGGACAGTAATTATAAGACGATCAACGCTGGATCAGAAAAAACTGCATGCAGATTTGGAAGGTAAGTAAAAACCCAATCGTCGTGTTGAAAGCAAATAGAAAAACAAGATGAAATGTGAGTGACGATAAGAAAATACTTTTGTGAAGATCAACATTGGAAGAGAAAAAAAAACTGCATGCTGGCGTATCGGGTTGGTAAAAGGTCATTACGATATCGTGACAAAGCGAAAACATCAACTGTTTTTTATGCAATAAAATAAAATCACACGATTTATTATTTATTAAAAATAGTACAAAACATGCAGCAATAAATGAATAATCGTTTAGCCCATAGAAAATAGATATAAGATTTCGCTGGATGAATATGATCATTTCCAAAGCTTTCATTTACTAAATCTTTTTATTTAAATTAGATTATATCAAATATAATTTTTTTATTTATTTTATCAGTATATGCATGTTTTTTTCCTTCCTTTTTTTTGTACATACGTATATATCCAAAATTATAAATCTAGTATCAATATCATGAGTTATTAAAATCTTGCCTATCATCATTGTAACTTAAAAGTGAAATTTAGTAAACAGACACTACGAAAATGATGTCGTGTATTCATAGACCGATATATGACTTATTTTGTTTGTCGACTAAAAGTCATTCATTTATTTCTGCATGCCCTATACTAATTTTTTTTCGTCTAGCTGTTAAGGTCTTTTTTTTTTCAATTGAAACACACTGTTGAGAACTAGTGACCATTGAATATGAAAAACGTAATCTTTTACTGCGTAACACATGGAATTCAGTCACATTAATCCCTATTAAATAAGCTGATTTTCAGTTTGTTTGTAGGACACAAAATGAATACCAGCGAACTTCGGGTGTGAGTGTGGATGATAAACATCATTATAACTATAAAAGTTACTGCCACACCTATATCCGTGTACATTAAATCAATAGTTAGGTTAATAATAATAAATTATAAAAGAAAAAAGAAAAAAGAAAATAAACAACAAACGAATAAAAACAAGACAAATAAAAAAAAACGATCGCCATCAATGTAAAAGAGAACAAACTTTCTTTTACAAATGTAGAAATAAAGACATTATTTGCTAACAATCGATTATCGTTGAAAAAGAACTATTATCCTTTAGAGATTTAACATTTTGCGTATTTTTTTATTAGTATAATGGATCTAAAGAAAACATATGAATACTGTATTTCAATCGCAGAGTCTGGGATAACATACTTTTTTGTACTGCCTAAGAACTTGTGATAAATCATACAGGGCATCATGTATGTTGTAACAAGACTTTTTCTATTTATTTTTGAGAATGGACACCTACAAAAGAATGACATTTTTTTTGAAAACTAATATATATGGAATTAATTCTCGATAAATAATTTGAAACTATTGCTTTATTTTATGAAACACAAAATAAATCACTAGGAAATATTGAATCAATATAAATTAGTGTTTTAACTGTTTGTGTTTATTATAGATTATTCAAAGAAATTCAAAAGATATTCGATGATATTCTTAATGATAACTGATCAATCAAAATATAGAATAACTTTGCAACTTAAGATCATTTGAAACAGTTTTATGTTAATTTGAACAAACATGTTAGACAAAGTTAAGATTTTGGCAAAATTAAACAGAGCTTTTATGAAATCAGAAAAATCGAAAAAGATGTGAGCAGACAATTAATCTTTGAAGTGTGCTTGATAATAGAGATGTGAATGTTATGACTTGCACATTATTCAGATGCATTTCATCAGAATTATTGTCTAGGGGATGTTATACGTGCTATTTTCTTTTCGTTCTGCGCTGTTTTCTATCCTGTTCTTCTTCTTTTTGTATCAAGAGATATGTTTTCTTTCTGTCATATATGTATGTTGGATTTTCTCTTTTCTTTTACTCTTTTTTATTCCAACTTGTTTTATGGATTTCCCCTTTCTTGATCATCATCTAGGGAATTTTCCATTGTATGGATATCCTCTTCTTGTTATCACATTATATAGAGTCGTTACGTTGTTGTGATAGAGAGAGATATAGTTATGCAGACAAATTACAAGTGGAATTAATATTTCACAGTGTGAAGTGTGCTCTTCTGTTTGGACGAAGTCGAAGGAACTACCACGAAACCGCCATCCGAGCCATATCATACCGACATCCTGGTAGTATAGAGGAACTTGAAGTGATATCCAAGAGTGTGGTCACTTGATTCTTGAGTTATTACCCATGTGTAAGGAGCGTACGGTTGTAAACAACTTGATTGTGTTTCGCATATTTGATCCTTTATACTCACACACCAACACGCTCCACAATAACTCGTTACCTTCTAACTTGAATCGAACAGATACTTTTCATATTCACTCAGAATGCTGAAACACCATCACATTGATTATATCGATCGTCTGAAAATGTGAATAATGTCCGTGATAAATTCACTGGCATGGCCTTCCGCTAAGGTTAAGCAATCATAAAAATTGATTCTATACTGCTGCCGAAGCATTGATAGAATAGGCATTCCACAGCAGATAGTTTGCTCTGTCAAGTATTATTAGGTAATTTCATAATAAGAATGTTTTCAAATAAGTGCGTAGGTATGGCTGTTGACGTCTATCGCATGTTTGTGTGGGTGACAAGAAGATCTACATTCACACCTTCAAGACGTTGGGAATCTGAAAAATGTGTCTCTGTGATGCACAAGATTTGATTTTCTCTGAAAAATATTTGTTTATTTAGCAGATCTATTTCTACAAAAAAATGATTTATACTGATTGTTCTAGACATTATTATTAGTTCAGACAATTTCAAAGATTATTCATAAAACTTCCAACAACTTTCAAGAAGCAGAACTATTAGTTTTACAAATACGTATACTAGGCAACATGCTAAAATGCTTATCTCAAAAACTATTTTTTTGACGCAAATGAAGTTTTCTGAGAAAGGTCTCTAGCAAAGAAATTATAGACAAAAATCCCTTTGGTGCTATTTTTTAGTTTCACGGTTAGTAGACTTTGCAGGACAAGTCAAGATTCAGTCAATGTTTGTATCCTGTAAAATTTTTCAAAAGATAACTAGTAGATATAAAATATCTTTAGCTATTTTGCAGAGGGATGAAATTTTTAGCTGGTCAGCGATGATTTGCATGAGACAGCTCCTATTTCCAATGAATAAGTACCGTTTCTAAACCGACAGATCTGTCCTTGACAGGTGTGTAACGTTGCAGAAGTTTGAATTTTTAAAAAAATTCTCTTGAAGTCTTTGCATATCTATATATTAAATTGATGTTGTTTATCAACTACATTTGAATCAATTATTTGTTTTAATTTTCAGAGCAAAAATACCATGTAATAGAGCAAATGAAGCTGCACAAATTCATATAGCAGGCTACCCAGGTCGAGGCGAACGGAGCCAAAATGTGTTGGGAACAGACGAACAAAAACCAAAATGCGTTCCGAACACGTTTTGTCTCCGTTCTTCTCGATCTGAGTAATTTTAAATAAGCTTTTTTATGTTCATAAATTTCGATAATATGACATGGTCAAAAACTACTGCTGATATGCATGTCTGTCAAAGAACGTAGTGGTAGAAAGCACAATAGATCAAATAAATAGTCTTTGCACACTGTATTCTGATATAGAATATGATCTTACTCTTATAACAAACACAAACCTATGTTTGCATATAATAAACTGATATGATATAAGCATTTTCATGTTTAGAACTTTTGAAAACATGACATACTTCAAACTGGCATAGCTTATCAGTTCGTTTTTGTACACATTGTGTATGTTTCAAGAATTTATAATTTCTCTCTGCTGAGATATTTGATAAGATACCCGATATGGCAATCATTTTGACTAACCTAGTATATTATAAAACAATTGAAAAATTGTTTGGAACTGTTTGAAATGTTATCTGTACTTGAATAGCATTTAGTCTGTAAGCGACATCTCATTTGTTGGAGTTGAAAAGAAAAAAAAGATGAAAGACTAGAATATTGTCTTTTATTTTTCTAGCCTTCTTATGCGTGTGATATGAAGTCAAATTGATTTGTATTATTAACGATATCATCTCGATAAATTGGATTGGTTTTTAAAAACGACCAACAGTAAATTGATTAAAAAAGAACAGTAACAACAGCACGCTTATTAATAAAAAAAAAAAAGATACACATTCTTCTCTACATCTATTATTTAGATTGTTATCTGTCCGATTTTTTTCAAATTATCGCATCATGTTTAAAAATTTAAAAGAAAAATTAGGAAATCAAGTTACTAAAACAAATTCAACTTTGTTGCCGGGCAATTCATCATTGGATTCAGTATGTTTGGAAGAATATTCACAATTGTATTTATTCTCTTTATTTCAAATTAGGTCTCTATATCAAGAGATTCTAATACTCGAACATCTTCAATTACTAGTCGAGATGATAATTCTGTAAAAAAGAAAAATTATTCATCTTGAAATTTCTATTTCATTTTTCGTTTAAGGAAAATAATCGTTCTCGATTAGATTCAACTTCAAGCGATATCAGTCAATTTAGTGTTGGTCAAAGTCCTAATGCTAGTATGACTTATGTATCACCACAACGTACTCATATGCCACCATCGGATATTGAATCTGAATATGGTGCTGATGAAAGTGATCATGAAAATAATACTGTGAGTTTATTAAAATACTTTTAAAAAATCCTTCTTATTTTCTGAAATTCTTGATTATTTAAGAAAATGATAAAAATGCAAAAACTTCTTTCTATTTATAAAAATAAATTTAATCAATTAAAAAATGCTTATGATGAAGTTGAACGAGAAAAAGAACATATTAAAGTATGTAAAAGTAGATAAGAACTGTTTTAAATTATATGTTTTGTTCTTTCTTTTGTCAGAATATTTTACAAAAGCATCAAGATACATCAATAAAACGACTTTCAGAATTACGTGAACAGACTAAACTTGATCGACAAGCTAAAGAACAACTTGAATGTTTACATCAAAAGGAAATACGAAAACGAGAAAATAGAATTGAAGAACTTACATTAAAAGTTAAATGATTGATTTTCATCATAAACGAGGAAAAAAAAACATTCAATTCTTTTCTAGCTTACTGCACAACAAGATCTCATTCAATTACCTAATGAAACAGATTATGAAGAAATGCAAAAACTTCGTGAAAAGGTTCAATATGATTTTTATTTTATTTCTAACGAATTATTAGAAATGATCTGATGGTTTAACAATGAGTCATTTTTCTCCTATTCTTTACATCACAGGAGAGTGTTCGAAATTTGAAGGCTTCTCACAACGCTTCTAGAGGGAGTTCGAATTGTCACCAAGAAAGTCCTCCAATGGATAAATCACTTTTGAATCAAGACTGTGTATGATGTGGATTCAAATGAATTTTCAATACCCTGAAAACAGTTTGTAATTTTATTTTTATAGCTGCAGAAGAACTGCACTCTTACAATATTTTTTAAATGAATGCTGTGATAACAGAAAAGCTGATTTTCGAATTTCGACTTGAAACTTTGCATAGACAGATCTTGTCACTATTCCTATCCTAACATACAACTGTGATACTAGCGTGTTTTTTGCATCGCTTATATATAACGCTAGATTTTATGTTCTTATTTCAGGATAGAAGCAAACGAAAAGATCTAAAACTGTCACACTAAACTACATTCCATAAGGAATGTCTCTATGCAAAGTTTCAAGGCAAAATTTGAAAAACAATTTTTCTGGCGTTTCTCATGGCAGAGCTCGTCGATTTGTTCTAGACACATATTCGGATGTGAAAGTTTTGAACTAGATGGACTGCATCTGAGAGGAAATACAGCATTCATTTAGAAAATAAAAGTGCAGTAACTCTACAGCAATACCCAGGCAGACAATGAACGGTCAAAACTGCGTTTAAACGCATCTATCAAGCGTTTATACCGTTTAAACCCCTTTAAACGTGTTTACCATTGAATTTTTCCGTTTTAAATCGTTTTTACGGTTTATTTTCAAG